GAAGCCAAAAAAGAAAAATTAAGGTAGAAAAATCTATGTTATTTTTAAATGGCTTATTGAAGGAAATAATAGTAACAGGAAAATCAATAAAGTGCACAATGCAGAATAAAAAGCAATGAAGTCTAGGGTAAAGGCAAACACTATTGTATTCAACAGACGGAATCATGGGACTAATAACAATTATGTACTTTTTATTACAGGAGCAAATAAAACGTTTCCAATTGAAGCCACTGATCCCAATACCTTGGAGTGTTTGAGAATCATAGAAAGCATTCAGAGTCTTTTTAAAAAGTCAATTCAATGCTTACAGTATATTATCAATATCAGTAATGTGGTATTTGCTGGAAAGTTGCCCCAGAATTATGATATCAATTATGTCTTAGAGAGCATGTAAGCAGTATCCTCTCAGGAGCATTTCTGAAAGAATAATTTTTATTTTTTAATTACTGGAGAGTCAGATCAGGACATTGGATAGAGCTCTTTGTACTCCCCACCTAACCCTAGGGCCAAAAAGGGAAGGACATAATTGAACTTCATCAACAATATGAACATGGTAGGAAAATACAAAGCAACTGTGTGTATAAAGGGTAAATCTTAGCTTATTCCTCCTGCACCTAACCTGTAGTCCCCAAAGACCAGACTCTGGGAAGACCACTGAGAAGAAGCTTTATATTTTTATGTTGCTTGTTGCTGATCAATTCTGCCTATAGCTACTTATTTCTTCTTTTTAAAATTCCTTGGGAAAACTGTACATTTTCTGAGAACACGGCTCCCCGCTATACATTTTTCTCTCCAGTCTGTTTATCCTTATCTCTTAATTGGCCTGAATCCCCTGATTACATTGGGAATTAAGTCTCTCTTCCTATTTGCTTGTGTGGCAGCAGTTTGCTTGTGGCGTCTTTACTCGGACAAGACAAACCTTCGATGCAGGCAGGAAATTTTCTGGCTTTGGTTATCTAGGTTGAAGGGTTGCACCTCAATCCATCTGATCCCCTGCAAAATGCATTGTAATAAAAGGGTTCTAAAACTTTGTCATTTGCCAATATGTAGGAATCAAGGTCCAGAAGGAAAAACTGGTCTATGGAATGGCTGCTATTTTGTGAATATTATGATAAAAGACCATGGTATTCTATTGAAGGCAACAGAGCCTGGTAGCAGCAGAGCATGAGGAAGGAGTGATGAGATACCAGGAGGAGGGGAGAGCACACTCAGAACTTTCTCTGCTTCCACTTTCCTCTGCTCAAAAGGATTCTTTTATTTAATATTTCTTCCTGATGGAGTCTTACTCCTCCTCTGTGGAGGTGTTTTGTGTGGACTCTTCCTCCTCTGCATTTCTTCTTTTTCCCCACCCCAGAAGAGGTCATGCCTTCCTCCTGTAGGCTATGGTAGTCACATGCACACATTCCCCTGCTGGGAACCTTGGAAGCAGAGATCATGCTTTCTTTCTCTGTATTTTCCAAGATTATTGGGTTAGATGGGCAATCCAGGCGGGAATGAACAAACTGATGAATGAGTAAGCGAATGAAAAAAACTGGCAACATTTTGCCTTGGGTTGTCTGTGCACACGCTGTCATCTAATTAAATGGCGCAGCACGTAATTCCTGCTCAATGATTTGCAGAAACTAGCCTTGGCAACTTTCTACTTGCCCACCAAAATCTTGGAAATCACTTTATTCCCATCTCTTACTTTCATCTCCCCCTGTTGATTTCATGCCTGAAATATTTCTCACCTCTTTCCATTTCCCCTATACCAGTGTTTTCCATGCCCCCTACTCGTCCCTCTTCTTAGCATTCTGCTTGGCAGCCTGGTTGTACCTGTTCATAATTCATTTCAGTTCCTTCTACCACCACCCTTCAAACAGCAGTTTTATAGCAAGAGTAAAACGGATGTGTTTACCGAGATAACTTTGGAATGCACTTGCTAACTGTTAGAGGCACATGATATATCACTATAAGTTAAAATTATCTGAGATGTTAGGGATGTTAATAAAATAAATTGGAAAGAGATGTGCATGCAGGGCCCTTATCGTTCAAGATAACATTGGAAGCTCAAAAGCGACTCCCCTGTGTAACTGAGGGGAACGTTTTACAAGATTAAAATGTTCCAAGCACTGTCGGCTCTGACAATGGCATTAAACAATTTTTCACAAGGGGTGGAAATAAAACCAGATCTAATAAGAAAGATCCTTATGTGGCTGCGTGATGAGAAGATGAAAGATGCAATGATTGCAGGAAGGATGGCCCCGACGCGCCAGGGTGCCACGCGATTCACAAAATCCTGCATGGGTGTAAGTTTCCGCCTGACACTTTAATAACAAAAGTATCTCTTTTTAACTGGTGTTAGCTTATTTTTCCCTCTGGCCTTTCTGTTTCTATTTCTTACTGAAAGCAAATAACCTATTATCAACTCCTGATAATATGTGGTGGTTTTAACGTCAGCTCCTGAAGCTGAGTCTTGGGAACTGGTGAATAAGACATTTTTCTTCACGTTCTATTGTGAAAACATTCCTGGTATTTCTCTTATTTCCTGTGCCTTAGAGAACTCAGTAGGGTGCCGATTTTCAGTAGAGACACATATGTACTTGCAAACTTGGCATTGATTAATCCTGATCTTTCCTGCAAGGGGAAAATAGAGATTGTTTTTGCAGTACAGACTTCCCGAGAAGAGTCTGACTTCTAACATTTCTGATGGGTAGTCTAATTGGGTTTAGAAGATTGTATGAATCTCTTTTGGAAACAATGAAAAGCACACAGAGGCCTAAGGGCAGCCACCATTTGTTTATTTATAATACATTTTATTTCAAAAAAATGTTAAGCCAACGCCTGATCCTGAGTCTACATCAATACTTTTGACACATAAATAAAAACAACATAAATCACAAATTTAATATGTTCTCACTAAGTTTTCCTAATGATAAATTCAATGGTCTCATGCCTTCTTTCAAATTAAATAACCTAGTTTAGTCTCTTCTGTTTTCATGTATGATAATTCTCTTTGCCAATGCACCTAGTCCTTTATATACCAATTCATATTTTTCCTGAAATAGAGGGCACCTAGTAATTATCTGAAACCAAATAGTGGATCGAATGGAAATCCTTCCTGCAATAGCTGTGTCTTTCATCTTCTGATCATGCAGACACATAAGGATCTTTCTTATTAGATCTGGTTTTATTTCCACCCTTGTAAAAAATGAAAAATGGATTGAATTTCCACACCTCTGACAATTATAACGTTAGCCCCTCACAAAGAAACCTCCAAATGTCAAAGCATAGAAGGAATGAGAACATTCTTCAGTCCATCATCTGTAATAAAGGAATCTTATGGAATACACAGAGAGAATGCCTGAATACAGCACTGGAAAGGGAAGAATTTGAATAATATAGAGGAGACAACAGATGAGCGTCTTTTTAAATTTATTGAATTAACCAAATTTGATACAGTAGTAAGATCCCTTTACTGAGAAACAATTAAATACAGTAAAAATTGTGGTATTCCAAGGAGCTATTCTGAAAGACATACATATGGAAAGCCTGAGTGTGAATATGCATGCAAGATAACTTGGAAATAATGCCAAAGTTTGAGTTTTCCAATTCTTGAGGTTGTTCTATTAACAGTCTTCATCAAAATATTGATTTCACTCAAAGAAATTGAGACTGTGGCTTCAGAAGGAAACATGTCATCGGATATGTTTATATATGCAATCATCGGAATGAAGAAAATATATTACTTTTCTTTCAATAACACAACATTTCTATTTTACCCTTCTACCTGGAGGGTACAGATAGAGTCCAGAGGAAAATTTGTTATTTCTGAATTTTTAGTAATGGTATTATCTAATCGTGAGCTACCTGTGGCTGGTGCCAGGGAGCACAGCGCCCACCTGTGGGCATGCATGATTTGCCACTGCTCTGTATGGGTGAATTCAATCAACACTTTTTACCTTCTCCCCAAAGACACTAGCCCACTAAAATGCATGGGATTGGGGAGGGGATGGCGAAGAAGGGTGGGATAAGGGGCTCTGGATGTACCAAATCATTTGGAAAGACTCACATTCAGTGGCAAAATACAATGCTTATTATTTTCAGTGTTATCAGAAGACACTAGAGTCTACATTTGTTAACTCGTTTATATAACAGGGTGAAAAATCAGAGAGGACCACAGGAAACTTGTATTTTAAATAGCTTCCAATCACTGAGCCACAGAGAGTGATACCATGATCCAGGCCAAAGGGTGAATAAAGCCCCCGTAACACCCTCACCTCCAAACCAGGAGGTTTGAATCTGGGAGCCATAACCCCAGAGGCATTCTCCTGCTGCCACTGCTGATAAACCCAGCTGTCACACCAAGAAGGATCACTTCCCAGACTGACAACAAAGACTTCGGTAGTACCTACTTGCAGAGGTTGGCAAAAGATGCCACATGGGCCAGGTGTTCACAGCCTATCTCCTCCTCCATAAACAACGCAGGATGTTTTATGCTCGCAGCAGAGTAATGACGCTAAGAGACTGAATGATTAAATGCCAGTCTGCCGGCCAGAGTACATTTGTTTTCTGCTTGAAAAAGCCACTTTCATTTTGTATGACAGCTTTCTTAACTGCAACACAGCTCAGAAAATGACAGAGAGCGAATGAGAATAAGTGATTGTAAACTGGCAAACAACTATTTGCTACTATTTGAACTACCATTAAACTGTTCATTCAATTTCTACTCAGAAGCCATCAGTCAGCTGTGGAACCAGAATGTGAGCATTATTTATTTGGTGGCATTACAATGCCATCTAATCTTGGAGAAAATCATTTAGACAAAAATCAGAGTATCCAAAAATTGCCTTGACATTCAGTGGCAAAATACAATGCTTAACTATGGCTTCTTGCATTTCTGTATTCTTTTTCTCATTATTGTTACTGAAATACTTGAATTCCATTCTTATTCCAATATCTTCAATAGTATCATTTTTCTCACTAGCTGCCTACGCAGGCCAGGAATTGTCAGCACAGAGAAAAGCTAAAGTTTTGTAAAATGTTCATGGTCTAGGCCTGGCTCCCATCTAGTATCATTCATTTCCTTTGGGAATATGCCCTTTCACAGTTTCCTAAGACAGTCTTCCTCGCCATTGAAGAACTAGAGTATGTAAAAATAGTGAGGTCAGCTACTAGGAGCTCTGCCTACTTTATCATATTTAAACCTCTTAATCTTAATGAGCTAAGTAGTCTGCTCCTTTCATAGACAAAAAAGTTGAGGCTCATGTGGGTTAAGAGATTTGCCAAAAATTTGGAGTTGGACATCAAGTCTGACTGACTGTAAGTTCGCTTTTCCAAGATGCTTCTAAAAGGAAGCTAGTGGTATTGTCTGTTCCATCAAAAGGAAAGACATTTAAATACTCAAAAGGAGTCAGTATTTATTGTGTATATAGATATGAATTGGAAGTAATGAAATAAATTATTTTTAGGCAAATGTCAGAGTTAGAGTTTCATATGAGAGTTAAATTTTCATATGTGAATACTAGAATATTAAGTCCTTAGTCTAATGATACTGACCACATTAAAATCATGTTTTAGAACATTTTCTAAGACCTCCTTGATATATGGAGTCACAGGTGTTTTGCTTTTGTTTTTGTCATTTGTTTGCTCATTTGTCCGTTTATTTTTAAAGTTAGCTATTTTTTTTCTTAGCTCTTTATTCTCTCAAAGCAAATTTGGTGTTTGATAACAGCTGAATTAATTTGGGGTCAAGTTTAGTGTTACTGAATAGATCAAGTTATTTAATATCATTTTGTGTCTAAAAAGGGTTGATCATACAGCAAATGAATGTAAGTTAGTGTACCTCATAAAATGAAATGTTTGAGTATTTATGATACCGTCATAATGCTTTCCCAAGGGTGTTAATTAGACAAAAAATAAACTTTCTGGAGGATATTTTGGCCATATATATCAAGAATTTTACATTTTATGCATGTTTTAGCACAATTCCATTTATAGAAACTTATGTTAAAGAAATAAATATGTATGCTAAGTTATTTTTTTAGGATACTCATCAGTGCATTATTTGAAAAAGTAAAATTAAAAATATATCTAACATGAGAAATTAGTCTATTATTATATAACTATATAATAAAACAGCATGCCTTCATTTAAAACAGTGTTATGGTATAATATGTAATGGTTCAATAAATATACATAATACAGTTAAAAATATTTTTAAAATTTAGTACAATATACTTTATTTTTGTGATATCAATATTATTCTTTATGCATAAATATTATTATTTAATATGTGAAGATAATTATGTATACCAAAAAAAGATGTGTGTGTGCATTTTCTCTCCAAATTTTCTATAGCACATATGTGTTAATTTTTTCATACAAATATTTAAAAACCTATTTTAAAAACTTGATTTGGTCTATACACATACATTATAAATTTTACAGTAGTAGGTTAACAACTTGCTTTAAATAATAGAAATTGATCATGGCACCTTTCAAAAACATAGCCTTCCTAGACTGGAAGAAAATATTTGCAAAATATACATTTGATTAAAGACTATTAACATACGAGAAGAGCCCTTGAAACTCTACATTAAGAAAATAAACAACTTGTTGAAAAAAATGGTCAAAAGATCTGAATTATCACCTCACTAAAGAAGATGTGCAAATGGCAAATAAGCATATAGAAAGATATTCAACATATTATATCATTGGGGATTGCAAATTAAAATAATGACAAAAATCTAAAACACTAACACCACCAAATGCTGGTGAAGATATGAAGCAATGGGAACTTTCATTTATTGCTGGTGGCAGTGCAAAATGATACAGCATTTGCAAGACATTTTGGAAGCATTTAGAATACAGTTTAGCAGTTTCTTAAAAAACTGAACGTTCTCCTACTATTCAATACAGCAATTGCTCTCCTTGATATTTACATAAGTGAATTGAAAACTAGGTAAAACATAAAAACCTACACATGAATGTTTATACTGTAGTGGCTTTATTCACAATTGCCAAAACTTGGAAGCAAACAAGATGTCCTTCAGTAAGTGAATAAATAAACAAATTGCGATACATCCAGACAATGAAATATTCAGCAGTAAAAAGAAATGAGCTACTAAGCCATGAAAGGCCATGAAAAAAGACCCGACATGCGTGTTACTAAATGAAAGAAGCCAATCTTAAAAGGCCATATACTATGAAATACATAATTCCAGCTGTATGACACTCTAAACAAGTCAAAACTTTGGACAGAGTAGAAAAGACCATTGGTTGCCAGGTGTTAAAAGAGAGAGAGGGATGAACAGGCAGAGCACAGAGAACTTTTAGGATGGTGAAAGTATTCTGTATGGTATTGCAATGCTGGCTACATGAACTATATTAGCACTAGAAGTTATTGGAGTCATATGGCATCCAAATATGTTACTGGCACTGAATCTGTATGGGTCTGCAGCAGCCTCAATTCCTGCCTCTTCAGAAGAATTTGACTGAGGGGCTTAAGGCAGAGGAGAGACCAAGGCAAGTTTTAGAGCAGGAGTGAAAGTTTATTAAAAAGCTTTCAAGCAGGAACAAAAGGAAGGAAAGTACACTTCGGAGAGGACCAAGTAGGTGACTTGAAGACAAGCCTGTGGTTTGACCTTTTGACTTGGGGTTTTTTGTATTGGCAAAATTCCGGGGTCTTGCATCCCTTCTCCCCTCATTCTTCCCTTGGGGTGGGCTGTCTCTAAGCATAGTGGCCTGCCAGCACTTTGGAGAGGCCTCATGCACAGTGTGGTTACTGCAGGTGTACAAATGCCCACTTGAGGTGTTGTTCCCTTGCCAGCTGAATGTCCCTAGAAGGTCACATAGCAGTTAAACTCTGCCATTTTGCGTCTTAGTGTGTGTGTGTGAGCCCACTTACCTCACTCCTGAGAGGGCTTATCAGGGAACTTCAGGTGTTTCTGTTTATTGAGAGACTGCCTTTCCCTGGCACTGGCTATGACCAATTATTATTTTGGAGAAACAGTTACCAACAGCCTGACCATCAACTGATGGTTATCTGACATTCCTGGTATGTGTGTGTGTGAGGGGGTAGAGGAGTGGAGGAGCCCTCTTGTTCTCTGCTCATGTCTGCCTAACTACCTCCATAACAACTACACATTTGTCAAACCCATAGATTATACAATACTAAGTAGTAAACCCTTATGTAAACTATAGTGTTTGGTTGACGATGTGTCAATGTAGGTTCATCACTTATAACAAATGTACCACTGTGGTTTGGGATGTTGATAGTGAGGGCAGCTATGTATGGGTGGGAAAAGGAAGTATAATGGAAACTCTCTATGCTTTCACTTAATTTGACTGTAAATCTAAATCTGCTCTTGAAAAAACCCAACTTTATTAATTTTTAAAACAGAAATCCTTAAACTGTTTATTTGAAGAAAGGTATAATCACAAATGTAAAGGAGACATAGTTAATATTCTGGATGGTTAGCTGAATGGATCTCCAGATGGGTTTATGGGTAAATCTATGAGTTTAAAGCAGAGATTGGCAAACATTTTCTGTAAAGGGACATATATTGAATATCTTTTTTCCCCCTGCAATCTGCTGTTTGTCTTACTGTGCAGCTCTGTTGTGTGAAAGCAGCCGTAGACAATCTGTAAACACATGGGCATAGCTGTCCATAAAACTTTATTTTCCAAAACAGAGATAGTTGCAAATCCCTGGTTTAAAGCAAGGGATGGGAATACGGTATGGAAAGCATGAGTTAAGTGTGTACCAAAACTTTCAAAGGGGTGAGAGGAGTTCTGCTCACTGTGAGGCTGATGGAGAGCTGGAAGAAAAGATGGGTTCCTCAGGCCTCAAAAAAGTTTTTTCTAGGTTCTAGGAAATTGCAAAGAAGTCTTAGTTTTCTCTAATACCAACAGAAGTTTGATTTGTTGTCCAAGAATTGTCTAATCCTTCAAAGAAAAAACACAGAGTTGGGAAATGGTAAAAGGCAACAACATTATTCTTTAACTTTCTTAGAGGGCAACTTGGAATAAGAACAACAAAGAAAATACTGAATCAGTGATTTCTCAGAATTCAGCAAACTCAAAGTACAGTCTCCTCTTGGTCTAGAGAAGTCATTGCCTAAATCAAAGCATTACTTTTTACCAAGAAGTTAGAGGAGTCCTACAGAGGCAGAAGAATATACTTAAAATGAAAAGGGAGATGTATTATGTGGCAGAATTATGTATGATATGCTGTTATTGGATCGAAGTTGGCTTAGTACTACCTTTCCAGTTTGTATAATACTTACTCAACTCCTTATAATTGCTTAAAAATGATTTGATAAAAAATGCCATTCAGAGTATTATTACATTAAATGAGACATTAGTTTTCTTGTTAAACCTCAGAAATGTGCAACTAAATACCTTTAGGTATTTACAGCACTCTTAGTTACCTGTTGGAGATTTATTTTTTCAGGTTTATTATAAAACAAGAGTATATATTTAAAAAGATAAACTGGAATGATAAAAATATAAAAGATAAAACTCATACATGCTACATTTGCTGCATGAGTAAATATCCTAATTAAAAGTCAAATTCAATCACTAAGTATAATTCCAAAGATGTCTACTGAAGCCAGAGCTGGAATGACAATTAGAGATAAAGATTTGTCTAAATGTTCTGTCTTTAAATATTTTATATTATTGTGTATAGTGGCTCTTCCATATTAATAAAAATCAAAATAGGATTCAACTCTTATAGGTGAGCTTGGTCACATGTCCCCAGTCAAGGACATCTTCATGTCAGGACATGCATGGATAAGCTTCATTTTGTCCATGCCCTGGCATAGAGTTTTCGATGAGTTCATGTTTCTTCAGGATCAGTGGGCTATAGTCACGTAGTTATGGCCATAAGTCTGCCTGCCTAGCTAGATTCTCATTTCTAGAATCAAAAGAGAAAAATGTCTATGAGAATAAAGCTGCCCTTCTGGATTTCAAGAACATGACAAATATGGGTTATTTAGTTAGTAGTTTGAAAACGTTGTCAATATTCTACCTCATAATTAATATAGATCTATGGTGTATTAGTCTGTTTTCACACTGCTGATAAAGACATACTCGAGACTGGGAAGAAAAAGAGGTTGAATTGGACTTACAGTTTCACATGGTTGGGGAGGCCTCAGAATCGTGGTGAGAGGTGAATGGCACTTCTTACATGGCAGTGGCAAGAGAAAATGAGGAAGAAGCAAAAGGTGAAAGCTCTGATAAACCCATCAGATCTTGTGAGACTTACAACCACAAGAACAGTATAGGAGAAAACACCCCCATGATGCAAATTATCTCCCATCGGGTTCCTCCCATAACACGTGGTAATTATGGGAGTA